AAGCGGGCTGACACGAGATCCAGGCTGCCAATAAGAGCAACATGTCCCAGGGGCGTTTGCATTACTGCAAACGTAAGGCAGGATCAATCAAGCAGAGTTGCTGCGAGTGTTACAATTCAATGACAGACGTTGGACGCGCAAGTAATGCTCGGACTCCTGTGGCAGCAACATGAAGACGCCGGTCAGCAGCAAGGGTACCTGGCACAACAGACCGCCGCGACTGACAACAGGGGCTTCCAGAGGCAAGAGGCATCAAGTCAAGCACGCAGTACGTTGTTCTCTTATTTTTCTCATGTTGCAGCCTCTAGAATGTAAACTCTCTAGCTTTAACCGCCCTAAACTCTAGAACCCCGAATCCCCAAACCCAAGACAGTCAAAAGCATTAAAAACTGTAAGCCCTGCCCGCTGCACAGCTCTCGCAGGAGCAGGAGATGATGGAAGATGAGAAGCAATACTACGACTTGGAGGTGGCTTTGGGTTTTGAGTTTTAGTGTTTAAAACGTTTAGGGCCTTATGTAGATTGAAGGCTTTAGGGTTTGCTGTGTTCCGTCTCCTAGGAACATACCTCATGTATGTGTTGATTGTCGATGCTCACACGTTTGGCTCCGTCCGCCTCTATATCCCAAGCCGAAACTGAAACTCGAGCATCCAATGCCAACAGCCCGACGTTCGAAAGGGTCTACTGTCAAAGTTGTTACATAACCCAGAAACTCGAAGCCCCAGTCCCTACATCCTGAACGCAAATCCCTCAAGTCTCTACCCGAGGTCGGAATACTTTTCTCGCTATTGCAATCCCCATGTATTCATACTAGAACCCTCCCTGAACCCCATCGGGCCGTTCTAAACCGTTCAATGCAGGCTCGGCGCCGTGAGCTGACGGAGAAGAGTCAGATGTGGGCGGAAGAGATTCACAGATGCAGTTTAGTGCGCCTAGGTTTTAGGATTCCCTAAGGGTCCATGTGCCCAACTAGTAGATACTCTGGCCCCAAAGTACCCAAATAGGGACTACTTTAAGGCCAAAGTACCTACTATTTGGGCACATGGACCTTTAGGGATTCCTAGGATTGGGGTTTAGGGCCGGGTCTATGGTTGAGGGTTCTTCATACTTACCGGTCCTTCATAGAACAGGCTTGCGTAAGGGTACAACAATACCCTAAACCTAAAATTCTAAAAAAAGATTCTCTGTTCCATATGGGTTCTCTCTCTCTCCGAGATCAACAGGGGTTCTATAGCGTTTTGTTGACATTTGAGAGTGTTGACGCGCTTGGGTTTAAAGTTTCGGAATCTCAGTTTTTTTGGCATTTGAGTGTGGGTTGTATGCTGCAGGGTCTGGCAGGGTGTCGGGTTGGAACTCCCTTTTGTAGATGCACCGCTTGGGATGACTGGCTTTTTGTGCATGGTTCCAACTTAAGTGTAGTGTAGTATAGCATAGTCCAGTCTTGTCTAGCCTAGTAGATACAGTGGTGTATAGTATACTGTAGTGTAGCTTAGCATGGCATAGTTTAGTAAGGTGCAGTATAGTACAGCACCGTATGCTATACTGCGAGTCTAGTGTGGTATCGCGTTGTATGGTCTGGTATGGTTTGGCATCGTAAGGTGTGGTATGGCAGGGCATGGTATGGTGTGGTAGAGTAGGGTATCATGGCACGGCCTGGTATGGAACACTCATGAAGGACATACGTAGCAACAAGCATTACAGTACAGTAAAGAAAAATATACTGTTGAATGGTATGACGTGGTATGATTTGGTGTAGCATGGGATGGTAAAGCAACGTAAAGTATAGTATAGGGTAGTATACACAAGTAAAGTGATGAAATGTGGTGCAGAGCATACTGTCAACAATGCAGGACATAGCGTATAGCACATATAGTATGGAGCAAACCGTATATAGTATTGGGTATAACACATATAGTTGGTAGTAGCGACGTCATAGTAGTTACACAGTGTAGTTACATAGTATAAAAGTTAAAGCAAGGTGTAATATACAATATACGGCTTACAGTATAAATTGAGTCGTGGACAGCAATTAATTACTTGTAGTAATTGTAGTATACAACAAATGGTATACAGGATGTACAGTACAGTACAGTACAATGTAGCACAGTACAGGACAGGACAGGATCGGACAGGACCGGACAGGAGAGGACAGGACAGTACGGCGAAGTATAGTACAGTATGCAAACATAGTTTCGTGTAGTACAGTACAGTATCGTAGAGTGGAGTAGAGTGTAGTTTCAGGTTGGTATGGAATATAGTCTATAGTAAATCATGTACTTGTAGACGGTGCAGGGTTTATCCACGATTAGTTCTAGTGCCTTGTTTCTATTGGTGCTATATCGAAGCACCTACTGCCTGTATAGGTAGTGCTACTTGTTATCAGCCCTAGTACGTCGTAGGCCTTAGTCTTTGAATTTCAACTCGCATATGGTGTTCTTACTGGTAGCCGTACCTAGTACCCATACTGGTAGAAGTATTTAGCAAACAAAATAGTTGCGCGTATAGTCATACTTCGTCAAGCACCATCACTGCACTGTTATTAGTACTTAGTGCTTCAGCCTTGGTACTTACTACCACTGGTGTTAGCACGAGTAAAAAGTATTAATACATTTTGTGCCGAGTTGTTCAAGTGTGTTGCTGTGCCGGCTGTCTTTCCGCGACATCCGCACGCAGCCTAAACCTCAATCATCCTAAACCTCTAGAGCCCTAAACCAAAAAATCCCTAGAGCAGCCCTCAGCCAAACAATCCCTAAAGCCTCATCTTCAAAATCCCACCCGGGCCTTCGCTTTACGTGCACATGCAGCTTATGAAGTGCAGGAGCCTGCAGAAATCGTAGCCTCATCCCTGTAAGCATATGTATGCAGATATGTACAATGTATATACACACAGAAACACTTAGCAAGAGTTGTGTATATACATATATATATATATACAGTGATGAACCTGTATATATATATATACATACTTACATGCATACATACATATACACATACATGCATTCATCTACAGAGACGCCTGCCGGACAGCCAAGCAGATGGTGATACGCTTAACGGTCATATCGAGTTCCTCGCAAATCCCTTCGAAACGTTGTTTTGGGCATCGGAAGCATAGCCATCGGGGCATGCCAAGGACCGCGAGACTGGATCAGGACGCTTGCGCAGAGTTTGAGGTGGTTGTTTGGGACTACCTAACCCTCAAAAGTTAACCCTAAAGCCCTGGACCCATGAACCCTTTAAGCTCCCAGCCTAAACCATACTTACACAAACCCTCGACTCGGGGATTGTCACTTCCTCTGCACCTCGAAGTGACGGTAGGTATCGTTGTTCTTGGGTCTCGTAAGTCGTAAAGGAGGTTTGGTGTTTAGGGTACCGTGAAAGCCTACTATACCACGTCTATATTTCAATTTGCCAGGATCATCTACTGTATCCCTTACGTCGGTACTTTAAGCTGCTATGTTACTATGACAACCTATATCCCCTTCGTATGCGTATGGTAGTTTAAGGCAGATCTCCTTAAGAGGGGCCCGGTTGCGTTTGGGGTGCCATGTGACCAGTGCTCTTTCATCAGTCAGTGAACTCCCCAGCATGATAGGGTGCCGTGTCACGTAGTGGTTATGACTAGTTGCTGACACTGCACCTGAGGGCTAAAAAGTATAGTATGCTATTTATGCTAACACCCAAAAAAAACAGTAAACAACTCTATGAGCCACTACTAAGCCATAAACCCTAAACTTATATGAATCTTTGCGAGGCAGACTCTGGAATCTTATGATTATTTATTTTGTCATTTAGGGGTCATTTGGGAGTCATTTTATTGTCATTCCGTGTTGTCATTGTGTGGCAAGGCCTGCTTGACAAATGTCATTTCTGTGGCATTTCCTTGTCGTTTATTTGATGTTGTTTTTGCTTCGTCGATGTCGTTTTTTCAGTTGTTGCTTATTCTTTCGTCATGTCCCAGCTATTGGGGCACTTCGCATGTTGTTGCAAGTTCTGCTGATTGTTTGCTTGTTCTCGACACATCAACTGACCTGAGGCACGGCATGGCAAGGTTCTGACATGAAGGATTTGTGTGGGCATCGGCCAATCATCAACAATCACATCATAATGGAGCTGCTCCGCAAGCCTTTTTGACGTTTTGTTGGGGAGTGTCTCACGTTCTCCGAGGGTCACACAAGTAACTAGGGACCTGAATAGTCAACTGCATCATTGCCTGAACCCAGGAATCCTCAGCAGCTTCGACATGCACAAAGTCGTACCTCATGAGCTAAGGGTGCCTCCGCAGACAGTCCAGCAACCACACACTGCCACGGGTTGGTGCTGCCTGCTTTTGTTGCCCTGAGCCCTGACGCTGGCTCCACACATGGGTGAAAATGGATGGACAGATGGACACGATCGTAGGTGCAGGTCCACAGCTGGAAGAGTTGGAGACTGTTAGCTGTTAGCTGTTAGCTAAACCTAAAGACAACCCAGCATCCCAGTTACACAAATAAGACCCTAATTAAGTATAGGTAACTGTTGATCACTGCGCTGCGTCCTGCCACCATATGCGTGTGCAGTGTCCAGTAGCGCAAACATCTTGCCAACAGGAAGCAAGCACAGCAAGATTATCTAGCAAGGGTCTCATGGGGCCTTTCTGATTCCTATAAAGATAGAAAGCATGAAACCTAGAATCCTCATGAAGGCGAGTGTTGCACAGAGGCCGGGATGAGGCCGAAGGAAATTCATGTGACGTGGCTGCCTGGTTTTGTTTTCCGGGGCCACAACAAGAACTGCGCTCGTGGTGCAGCAGCTGCAATCTTACGAAGGACTGTAACTGCAACAATAACCCGTGCAACTGGTCACCTTAGTACCCAAAAGCGGAAAGGTCAACCAAACTAAGCTGGAGGCAACACTGTGAGTGAAAGAAAACTCGAAGACATACAGCTTTAGAGTGCGATGCCACAAGCTTGCTGGGGCCGGCAGACAACTCCATATGTGGAGAGCGCCGGCCTCGCCGAATCACCTAGGCTGCTACTGCAATGTCGCGCGCAACCTTCAAGATAGTGGGATGCAGGTCAGCATCTCCGATGCCCATGTTATTGTTAGCCACGAATGCAAGGTGGCTTTGCATGACTGACAGGATGCTTTGTGCCTCCTTGCTGTCCTTGTCTCCCTTGCAGCTCAACTGGTTGAAGGACTCAATGCCAGCAAGCAAGAATGCCTCTGTAATGAGAATCTTGGCTTCTCGCGGGCAGCCTGCAACTAGAACGGGCACACCATTCAAGCAAGACGTCTGCTGCGGGAACTCCGGGAACTTGTCGCAGAACTCCTCTGCCACCTCAACCGCCTGAGTGGAGCAACAGGAGGAAAACCGGCACTATGCGGGAGGCTAAAAGCGATGGGCTGATTTAAAAATGCATTGCCTGGTCTCGGGCTCCAAAGTTGAAGGCAGGGTTCAAGTTTCAAAACTAGGCTCATGGCTGATAATATGACTCAGGGTTTAGGGGTCAATAGTGCATGGAGAAGCCCAGAAAACCAAGCCCAAAAACCCCAAACCTGACATTTAACTAAACCGTAAGACCTTCAACCCAAAACCCACAAGCCCTAAACCATAAAACTTAACAATGCCGTTAACCCTAAACTCCAAGCTCACCAGCCCAGCCTTCAGCTCTGCTAAACCGTTAACCCTAAAGCCTTGAACCCGACTTGTGACCAAGCCGCAAACCCCAACCCCCCCCCCCCTCCCGGAAACCAGAATTCTTGCTGAATCGCAAACCCTCCACCCGAAACTCACACCCAAGAGGAACCCTGAAACATGCAACACATGCTGCCCACTGACCTTCTCGAACTTCGTGCTAGCAGCGCGCAACAACTTGCCATCGATCGTGTCCAAGCTTGTCTTTGCGGCCTCCTTCACTTGCTGCAGCGGAGCGTCGGAAGCAAGTGTCTGTTTCCAGGATGCCCCAGTCAAGCCACCGCATAGCTTGTCCAAGCCATCGCACTGGTCATTCAAGTCCTTGAGCATCTGCTCGGCTCGCCACTGCAAGACTTCCCGGATCACGTCGAGCTTCGGTAGCTGCAGGAAGTCCTCGGCCATGTCGAAGCTGGAGAGATTGTCAGCAGCCGGGTCAGCCAAGCCACCCTCATCATCCTCTGGCTTTGCATGGAAAACCTGCAACTTCTTGAAGCTCTGGTGAATGTTGTTCAAGATCGTGCTGTTTTTGTCCTTGCGCCACCGCCCTGCTGGATCACCAGCGAGGCCCTCGAACTTGTTCAGCCCAGCAACGAAAAGCATTCCTGATTGCAGGCACGCGGTCCAATCCTGCATCTTGTCCATGATCTCCTCACGGCCCAGGGTCTTGTAGATGCTGCCCATGCCGACCAGCGCAGCAGTCGCCACCTTGAGCTCAGCGGCGTCGATCGCACCACCCAAGACCTGTCGTCCAACCCTGGTCTACCGATTGCAACTCGGGGAACGCGGAGGCATCGGCTGGTAGCGCATGTGTGTAGTGTCATAGTAGTCATAGTATACGACTGTCATACATACTTATGAGACACACCTAAAACACGGGCCAAGCTACAACAATCATAAGGAAGACAAAGACCCTCCTAAACTGTGGGACTAGTTAGTTCAGGCTTATTAGGCCACAAGCAACAACACACGCATCCTGCCTGCTTCCGGGTTTCCTTTAGGAGACGGTGGATGAAAGCGTCGATGCTCTGCTCGAGTTCTGTGGGAACGGGCTCGTCCTTGCATTTCAAGACCAACTGCTTCAATCGAGCGCAGTCCAGCTGCCATGCTGCGAGGTTCTTCTCGATGAGCTCCACCAAGTCTCGCATAGCCACGGCCGAACGATTCCGGGTCATGTGGTCTTGAAGTTCTTGGATCTTCGAGAGCACCCCTGGCTTGGCTGTAAACATGTTCAAGCCTACAAGCAAGTGGTCCACAAGGGCGGACCCCTTCGAGGCATGCTGGCCGTCCAGCAACAGAGCAGCTGTGGCGTCCAGCTGGCGGAGCAAGCCGGCGCTGATGGTCTCCAGCTCCATTGCCCTGAGAGAGGCCTTCAACGTCTGGAAAAGACTGATGGCCTTCTCTACATCATCCGCTGACAAGGTATCCTGGCTCAGCAATGCTTCCAGCTCTCGTCGCGGCGCGGCCAACAAGGTTGCCTTGCCGGCGGTCCTCACAATCTCGTCAACCAAGGAGCGCCAGGATGAGTTGGCTCTCAGCAACTGATCTCGGATGGTCCGCTCGCATAGCTCGGAACCTTCGTACTTGGTGAGCCGGTAGACGTCCGTGTGGTTCGTGGGCTCACCTGCCACCGGGGTGTTCAGGAGGTGCGCTAAGCATCGGCAAATGTCGTTGAAGCGCTTGGCACCTTCTGGCACGGCAGACAACATGGGGCATGCTTCCATCTCCTGCAGAGCGCGAGCATTCTGCTGATAGTTGGCACAGACTCCCCTGACGAAGCCTCGGATGGCCTCATGCGCACGTTCCTCGTACTTGAGCAGCTTCACAAACTCGTCCGAGAGCAGCATGTCCAGATAGGCCTCCTTGAACTCCTGCGCACAAACATGCACTAGGCAACCCAGGCATACCGTACCCGCAGCGCACACACAAGGAACACACCGGCGGGCGGTTTCTGGGCCTGGAAGCTTACTCATCTAGAAGGGACCTCGCGGGACTTATACCGGACCTTCCTGGGAACATGTCATCATGAGCCAAAATGTAAATGAATCAGCCCGATCAACACATCACAGAGGCTCCAGCACAAACGGCTCAGCATTGCAAGGACATGTGAGAAACGTCTATCCGAGACGAGAGCATTTTCAGACAAACCTATGCCTAGAACTCGATATACACACGAGAACTGTTGGACTATGCATCACATACAAGTGAACCACAAAAGGGCTACACAAGCAACACTACTTGAAGATATGGCCTCCGCAGCTTGGCGCACTGCTTCACCTGCCTCGGACAAGGAAACTTCCTTGCCCTCATCGAGGGCTGCCATTTGCCGGTCGAACTCATCCTCTTCGTTCTCGTTCCGCACGTCCTCCGCTGCAGCCCGAAGACGGTAAAGAGTGTCGCCGACACTGCACTGGTCCACATTGAACGTCTCCTCACACTCTTCTGCGTTGCATACAAGGATGAGCTCCTGAGCCAAGTCGGCATACTTCTCCACCTTCTTGTCGGAGAACACCTCGCCATTGCCAGTCGGGTAATTGTCTGCGTCTTTCCAGCTGCCTCGCGCAAACTGGAAGCAGATGACCACCTGCAAGCTCAGGGAGAACTGCGGCCAGAGGCTGCGCGAGCTGCACAGGTGTTGCTCCAGCTCCTCCACAGGCAACTGCTTCAAATAGTCCTCCTTGCCCAGGATCTGCGCGTGCTCGCATTGCACGATTCGAGTCTGGAGCGTGTCCGCAAGGGTAACCAAATTGTTGTTCTTGAGGTTCTTCAGTATGGCCTTGGCCTTTGCAGGGATTCTGCGAAGTCCAACCCTGAAAGACAGCACCCCATTAGGTCAGCTGGGTTGCCCCTGAGACTGGTACACTAGATCCAACGTTAGCTGCCTGGCTGTCACAGCCTTTCCATCAAGGAACGGCAAATCAAGGGCAACGGCTCAAAACTACACATACAGATGTAGCACCAGACACAGCGATGCTCCTATCTGGAGGGATGGACATCTAGAAGCAAGCAGGTAAGTGCACGACCCAGCCCAGCTTCACTGGGCTAACCTGGGGCCCTGGCACCACTCAGGGAAGCAGCCAGAGCCCGGACCTGCGACGACTGGTTGGCTAGGAACAACTCCGGCTGCAACAGCTCCAGCGACTTCACGCTCGAGCCCTTGTCCGTGCGGAGGTGCCCCTCAGCCACCTTTTTCATGTCGCCGTCGAGGCCGTCCGTCCTCTCCGAGTCCCTATCCTTGGTACCGTCCCTGCCACCTTTGCTGGAAGCCATACCCTTGTCGGAGCCTGTCTTAGCCGTAGCCTTGTCCCCTTTCAGCGCTGCCATCATCGCCTTCTTCTGCTCCTTCTTGGCAAGCTTCTGCTGCTTGGCTTGAATCTTTGCGCTCGCTGCCTGCTCTAAGGCACCGCCTTTGGCTGACACACTGCGCACGGTCACACCCTCCGGCTCAGCAACAGAAGCAGCGCCGCCCATGCCTGCTGCCGCAGCCGCACGAGCCGCCTCACTCTTCTGGCCATCGACACGAGCGTGCATCTCCCGTAGCTCTGTCACCGTGCTTGGACCACGACTGGTCGGCTGGAGCACAGCATGTCGAGAGGCGAAGTGCTTGGCACAAACATGGTTGAATGTCACACCAGCCTGGTCTTCGTGCAGCTGCGTGCCCTCCGTCATGTAGAAATCCTGCCGACTCGCGGAACTAGCGTGCTGGACGCGGACCTTCTTCATGGCATTTGCCATTTGCGCAGACACCTCGGACAAGTCCACAGCGTACAGCCACTGCTCGTTCTGGTCGGGGCCATGCCATGGGAAACTCATGGGTTGGCACTCTCCTTCCTTGGGGGATTTCCCGACAACGGCTGTGTAATCCTTCTCAGGCAGAAGCCCGAAATCTTGATAGATCATGTAGCCGTAGAGAGTTTCATTGGCTACCTGCCCGGCTGGGCAGAACCTGGGCCTCTGGTCACTGTCGACCAGACTCTTGTAGACCAGGAGCCCCGCATCGAGCCGCTGGCGCAGGTCTGGATCCAGCGCCCGCATGCCCTGCTCATTCCGGTAGATCTTGATGACATCTACAAGGTCTCTGTCCGGACAGAGGCGCTGCATGACCCATCCACAGTCGTAGCAAGCTGCGTGCTGCGGATCCGCGATGCAAGCGAACTCCACCTCCTGGTATTACCGCTTGAAATGTTCGGCTTCTATCATTTTAAAATCAACATGCCCAGAGACCACGTTCCCCGGAAACATGTCTAGCTGCGGGCCTCTACAACCGGACTACTTTCCTGTTACACCTGCTTCGGTCACGTCAGCTTGTCACCACGGGGCCGTTACTACATGGTACTTGCAGCGATGTACATGTGAACAGGCAAAACTCTCCCCACTCTCCACTGCACGTCCTTGCTGCTGCTGCCACAAATCCCACAGACGAAGACAACAACGCGGGCACTGGACCTCTTGGGAGCAGCAATCGGGGGGTTTTCAGGCTCCGCAGGCACCAGCGCCAAGTTCCGCGCATCGTCCTCCTTCCAAGACAAGCACACAACATTACCTCCGGAAAAACTCTCTGCACAAAGGACCCGCACACCACCAGAGCTGCACTGCTCCAAGCAGAAAACCAAGGCGAAACCCACGTCCAATAACAGCACTGAAGAAGGCACCGCAAAGTCTCAAAGTTCAGACGACTTCTAGTCTCCTGCTGCGTCTTCACTCGCTTGCGACGAGCCGCCATGAACCTGAGCCCTTGCTCGGGTCTGGGACGTTCAAGGGCTAAGAGCGACAAAGCCTCAGCCTGAGGGAAAATCTGCACGCGGAAATAATCACCAACAAAGTCCATCTGCACTGTTCCAGTAGACTCAAGGAGCATGCAGGATCATGACGACTGGAGGACGCTAGGCGCCAGCCTGATCGCAGTGATCAAAGCCATCATGCATCATACTTGAGAGGTGTCTAAGGACGCGAACCCTGTTTCAAAGCTTTTGGCACACAGCAGGGGTCTCATGTCCGGGACTATGCACCATGCCTGCAGCTGCACAGACACACTGGCACAGCTAACTCACACGACAACCGCGCAGCAAATCTGTAAACAGCTTGTCTATGTAGATAACACACGCAGCTGTATGCCCCAGTACACTAGCTAGCTGTAGCAAGAGTTTAGATCCCGAGCACGCGTGTGGTTGCCTCACAGACACACACTGTACTGCAACGCGCTGGAGGAGTGCGCTGCCACTTGCATCAGAGAGCAACACTACGAGCCTTGAATGCCTTGAGCCCGCAACAGCTGACGGCCGCCTGCCTGTGTTTTAGCAACTGGGACCTGCAAATAAACGATGCATCTGCTGGAATCTAGCCACTCGAATTACTCTGGACGCTACAGGCCGTACAGCCGGACCGGGCCAGCATCGGGTGTCTAGGCGTTTTTTTTTTCAGGAAAAGAGGAGCTTCCGTGACTGGAGGCATTGCCCGTAAAGGAGGGCCAGAGACTTTGACCAGATCCAGTCTCCAAGGCTGCGGTCACAACTCTCTTTTGTAGGTCCTAGAGGTCCTTGGACAATGCCTCCCGGATGGCTGCACTGTTTCGCGTGCACTAGTAGGCCGTCAAAGCCAAGCTGAAGGCCGGGCCCCAATTCGGGATGCAAGAAGCTGCACATCTGCAATCAAACAAGGTCCACTTTATGATACGGCCTTAACACTGCTGTGTGAGTCTTGATTACCATCGGGCTGCAGCAGGGCAAGAGACATCACGGAAAGGCTCCTGCTGCTGCCAGCGCAGCTATCAAAACACCTAGACAAGGCAAACAAATGCCCTGGCCAGCGAGTTCCTTCAAATCGCTCGGGGTCATGGAGGGACCGAGAGACAAGCCAGCACGATGGCCTTGCCAGCATAACATTTCCAGGGGCAACACTAGACCATCCCTTCTGAAGGAAAAGATCTGGCTTGACGTAGTCAAGCACCTGGAGAGGCCTTGGCGATTCGTCCAAGGCTTTCGACATGGGTTCTGGGACACATCGACAAACACATCGGCAAGCTCGTTTTGCACAAGCTCCGGATCCGTGCTTTCGGCTAACACCCTGGCGCGGTCGGGGCCAAGGTGGAAAATGGCTGCCAACTCAATGACCTCCTTCATACGAGGAGTTGGCAGCAAGCCCGTGTACTTCCTCTTGCACGCCGACCATGGTTTCAAGTCGTTCTTGACCCCCATCTCCGCCCGCAAACGCAAAGCCTGAATCTTCCAGACAGGGACTGCCTGTTGCTCCTGCTGGGATATCGGAAATGCCGCATTTTCATATCCATACCCTAACATGACTTTGAACCTAGGACCTAAAGATGCGCTGGACAAAGCCCATAGCGTGTAGACTGTGCCCCCACATAGCTCCGAACTCCACCCCAGCAAGCCGGGAGGGGGAGGGGGTGGGGTGGGGGGGGGGGGG